CTTCATTATCAATAATTATTCACATTTAATTATAATATTTATTTTCCTCTTCTTTTTACATCATTTTTTGCATTGCATGTCCTCCTATTTCTTGGATTTTTTTTTCATTTTTTTGGTGTAATTTTGGAGATACAGTAGTTTGTCATCTGCTTCGTAAAGCTTTTCATTTAACTAGAGAAATTATTATTATCACCTTCACATTCTAACTGAAGAATCAGAAGCTCAAAGATTTCAAGTTGAGTTTTTAAAGGTAACGCAGAAATCCAGTGGCAAAGCTTGGGCTCAAATGCAAGTCTCCAGACTCTATGTTTGCTGTCTTTGTTTATGTGTTTGTTTCTTTTTCCTATGGCAAGTGTCCACGACAACAATATGCTGCTTACTTCATTACCTTTTGTAGGAGTAGTTTGAAGGACAATTTTAAATATAAATCTGCTTTTTATAGTGACTATTGATGATGCTTGTACAGTCACGTTCAGCTTGCTTAGTTGAACAGAATTGTGAACACTAAGAGTATTCTTTGGCAAAACACTACATTAAGGCTGTTTGTGGTTACAGCTATTAGGAAATAATTATTCTTATAATTTGCATAGCAATGCTTGAATACCTCAAATTTGAATTTAAAACAAAAAAGAAACATGATGAATTATACAACAAAAATATTTTAACAAGAAGATGGCAGATCATTAGGAGATTCAAAATTTTCTGAGTTAAGAATGCCAACAGTAATTTATCATGTGTGCCTTCAACTTGTACAGAAAAATATTATAGGAGGTGCTATTATAGCAGTTCATAAATAATAAAAATTCTTTATATGACATAAAAATAATAGCAATGCAATATATCTTATGAATATAGATGCAAAATACTCAACAAAATACTAGGAAAACTGAATCCAGTAACATATACACCATGACTAAGTAGAACTTATGCCAGTAATACAAGTTTGGTTCAACATATAAAAATCAATCAATGTATACAGCATATTGATAAAATAAAGTACAAAAACCACATGATCATCTCAATAGACTCAGAAAGAGCATTTAATAAACTCAAAATTCTTTCATAATAAAAGCAATCTACAAACTAGAAAGAGAAAGGAAGTTCCTCCACCTGATAAAGGGATTCTATGAAAATCCACATATAACATCAGACTAAATAGTGAAAGACTGAAACTTTCTTCCTAAGATCAGGAACAAGATGAGGAAGTCCACTCGCTACTTTTATCCAACAGTATACTGGAGGTTCTAGCCAGGGCAATTAGGCAAGAAAAAGAAATAAAATGTGGGGCTGGCCCAGTGGCGTAGTGGTTAAGTTCACGTGCTCTGTTTGGACAGACAGGGGTTTGCAGGTTCGTCCCACATGTAAAGTAGAGGAAGATGGGCAAGGGTGTTAGCCAAGGGCCAATCTTCCTCAGCAAAAAGACAGGATTGGCAACAGATGTTAGCTCAGAGCTAATCTTTCTCACCAAAAAAAAAAAAAAAAGAGAAGAAAAGAAACAAAAGTCATCCAGGAAAGAGAGGAAAAAGTTCATTTAACATCATTTCCTGGAAGTTGCACATACCTTTTCTGCTCCCATCCCATTGGCCAGAACTTAATTACATAACCACGCATAACTGCAAGAAGTTAGGAAATGTAGTCTCTAGTGGAAAGCTTGTGTCTAGTTAAATTTTGGGGCTTTTATTTTTGGAAAAAGAATGGGTAATAGGTATTGGGAGACAATTAGCGGTCTCTTTCACATTTGTTAAATGCAAATCAAAAATGCAATTGGCTATTTTAAATTTTACTTTACTTTTCCCTTTTTCTTTCTTTCTTTCTTCTTCTCTTTCTTTCTTTGTTTCTTTCTTTCCTTCATTTTGTCTTTTTTTGTTTTTAACACATGAACTGCAAAGATTAAAAAGATTGCTAGCCTAAATGTAATATGGTCTTCTCAACTGGATCTTGGAACAGAAAAAGGACATTAGTGGGAAAGCTAGTGAAATCTGAATAAAATCTGCAGTTTAGTTAATAATACTGTACTAATGTTAATTTCTTAGTTTTGTAAATGTACCATCGTTATGCAAGATATTGACATTAGTGGAAGCTGGGTGAAGGGTATACAGGAACTCAGTATTATAGTTACACTTATCAGTAAATCTAAAATGACTTCAAAATTAAAAGTTAAAAAAATGATTGCTAATACTTAATGGCCACAGGTTTGGAAAATTGGAAAGAATTCTTATTCACTCTTGGTGTTAATATATGTTAGTACAGCCTGTTTTTAGAGAGCAATTAGGCATTATTTATTAAATATAAACGTGTTTATGCATTTTTATTCACAAAATCTACTTCTAGGAATTTCTTTTATAAAAAGTTGAATGCCAACTTTTGGAATCTTTCTTTTCCCTTTTAGGTAATTCAGTATGATTCCTCCCAGAGAATCTAGGAGGTTGTCAGAGAGTGGAATGTTTGTTTTTATAATTTCAGAGATAAAACAATCCATAGTATGGATAATGTCTGAAGTAGAATGGAAGTGAAGTTCCCAGAGTAGAGTTGGTTAAATAACTAAATTGCTAGGCTTTTGATTGGAGGAATAAAAGATCTGAAAGCCAATGGGGAGTATTAAGGATCAGATGCTACTTCTGGATCTTGAGAAAATGGGATGTGAGAGGATGAGTGGCTTCCATCTGAGAGGGCTGCAGGGTAACTTTCCATTTTAGACAAGGAGGTACAAGAATGGTCTTGAAAAGGAAGAGGGTTTACTAAGTAGGTTTTAAAATTTTGAAACAGAAGTTCCTACAGTGCAATAGAAAGGTTTGAGGGGGCACGTAGCAGTGGGAGTTTGGGTCACGGGACTAAATGTTCAGAGAGATTAGAAGGGTTTACATATTTAGCAGTGATGAGGAACATAGAAAGATGAGTTTGCAATATAGTTGGTATGATTACTGTTATGGTGGAATGCCTGGAGCATTAGAGGTAGTCCAGCTTTTGGGGGAATCTGACTAGCCACGCTTTCTTAGTCCTGGCCATTTGCACATGTTCTTTCCTTGGTCTGGAACACCTCTGTCTCCTTTTCTCCCTTCTCTGGGCCAGTTCCGACACTTTATGTCTGGATCTAAATAGAAGTTTCTCCAGAAAGCCTTCCTTGAGGGTCTTCTCTTAGCATGTGTACTTCTTCTCTAGTAGCCCTTTTCACAATATATATAGCAATTGTGTGTTGACTTGTGTGTATCCTCAACTGTACCTTCAGTTCTGGCAGGGAAAAGACAACTGTCTTACAGAAAGTCCAGCCGCTATGTAATCATCCTTAAATTGTACTACATAAATATTTACTATTTTTTTCAAATTTAATATTATAAAATTTAATTCCAGTTTACAAAAGAATTCAATACATGTTTCTTTAAAGAGTAAGCTCGACTACTACATTATATGATTTGATTCCTACACTTTTAATTTACAATCTTTCATAACCCTCTATTTCCCCATGTTACAGACATTTTTACTGAATGTTTATTTGTGGAATAAATGAATGAACTGAATCAGCTTCATCCAAATCTTTCTCTATCCTTGATATATAAACATTTTATTTTATTTTTTCGTGAGGAAGATCAGCCCTGAGCTAACATCCAACGCCAGTCCTCCTCTTTTTTTGCTGAGGAAGATTGGCCCTGGGCTAACACGCGTGCCCATCTTCCTCTACTTTATATGGGACGCCGCCACAGCATGGCTTGACAAGCTGTGCGTCGGTGCGTGTCTGGGATCCAAACCTGCGAACCCTGGGCCGCTGAAGTGGAGTGCGCACACTTAACCACTGCGCCACCGGGCTGGCCCCTGATATATAAACATTTTAAAAAGTATTAATACTGCTCAGATTCTAACATTTTAATGTTGTTTCAAAAAATATTTAACCTGTATGTGAATTAACGTGGCATTCAAAACTGTTGAAGGACTGTCATATCTGGTTGTACATACTGTCCTCATGTTTTCATGTGTTTGAAAATTCATCTTAAAAAATAAATTTCTTAGGTGTATGCAAGGTACTATTCCACATTCATGGGACACACATTGTCAGATAATACACAATACACTTGTGAGAAAGAATATTTTCCCCTAGATGTATTCTTTCTCTTAGCAAAATTAAATACTCTATATGTTTTATTTACGCAGAAATGTCTGTCTATAGTACAATCATTGTAACAATAATTAATATAAACAAATAAATACTTTTTTCTCTGTTAGAGTCATAATTTTCAAAGCAGCGATCAAACAAGATCTCATGCGATTGTCACATTACCCTCTGCCAGGAAATAAAATTTTCGCACATTCCAAGATATTTGAAGAGATGCAATTTATGAAAGCAGCAGGTAGAGTGTGTGGCTGTCACTATTATTTATATTTGTGGGTAGTGACTTAAATTAGCAAACGTCCCCTTATGGAAAGTTTATTCTGATGAAATCCTTAAACAACAAAACTCAGAAATAAAAAATTGGCCTCCCACGGATTTGGACTGAGGGCGGAGCCTCAGGGATTTGTGGGCGGAGCCGCCGAGGGTCTGGGAGGGCTCTCTGCTCCCGCTCGGCACTACTCGGCTCCGCTCGGCTCCCTCTCGGTTCCCGCTCGGCTCTGTTCGGTTCCCCTTCCCGGAGGGAGAGCAGCGGCGATTCCGGCGCACGCGCTCTCGGCTCCTGCAGCTGTTAGGGCCGTGCTTTGCCGTGGGTTTTCACTTCCTTCTCTTCAGAGCTGTATCCGGGTCGTTGCCTTCCCTATTGTCTCAGGCAACTGGCCTCGGACTGTGCAAAATCTGGGTGTTTTGTTGCTTGTGGTGCAGGCTAATAAAGTTTTTCTTTGATTTTTTTCTAACAGTTTTAACGGGGGATATTAAGTCCCCAGGGCTGCCGGGTTGGCCGCGCTGCCTGGGCCGGGGGGCGCCTCTGGCCGGGGAGCCCCGAGGGAGGGGGCGCGAGCGGCCGAGGCCGGTTCTGGGAGAACCGGGGGGCGGGGGGCGGGAGGGACCGCGGGGCTGCACCTGGGGCGCGCCGGTCCAGTCAGCGGCGCCGCCCATTTTAAATAGCATTTTTTGACTTGTTTCCGCGGTCTCAGTCCCCGACCTCGACGTTGCCTGGGCTCTCGCAGCCTCTCCCTGGGTCTCCTCCAAACGACCACCTCGGATTCCTTAGTAAGTGTGTCGGAGGCCTCCGCGGGGAGAAAGGTCCATTTCAGCCCTTCTAGGAGTCAGGGCGGGCGGGAGCAGGGAGGGAGTGGGAGGATCCTGCGGGAAGCTGGACCCTAGGTGGATGCTACCCTTCCACCGTCCGCGGGAATGAACACGGCTTCTTTTATTCCCTGGGCTTTGCGTTTTCCTTATGTTGACTGTTATGGTGTCTAAGTGAGGGATTACGAGCGAGTCGCAGAAACATCAAAAGATGTGCAAGAGGGTCAGCTTCGATTTTCGCCGGCCTGGGTTCGGGTTCGCCGCATCCTGTGGCTGGAGCTGCCCATGGAGCTGCCCGGCCCTCTCCAGCTCTCGTTTCCACCACAACCTTCCCCGACGCCTTTTGCTGAGAACTAAGTTAGACAAAGATTCCCTGCACGAGGTCATCTGTACCTGTGCTTGGTGTGATTATGAATGACAATGTAATATTTTTCTCTTAACAGTGGATCGCAGCTCCAAGAGGAGGCAGGTGAAGCCTTTGGCAGCTTCTCTGCTAGAAGCTCTCGATTATGATAGTTCAGATGACAGTGATTTTAAAGTTGGTGATGCCTCAGGTAAATGTTTCCTTCTCTCTTCCCTTTTCCCAGCTTTCTGGAGTTGGGCTTATTTTCAGAATTTTTTTTAAAGAATCGGTTTTGATTAAAATGCCGATTTAAAGTTAAAGCACATAAACTTCATTTATTTTGTCCATTTGATTTACCTAAGATCCTGTCTTACCATTACTTCTGTATTTGTTGATAACTGACTCAGGTAATTAGCAGGCAGAGAAGGACTTATTCCAAAGATGCAAAAACATTTTCTCTAGTCTTTATTTTAAAATATATTTGTGCGTAGTTTATGGATAGAGGGAAAAAAAAAAAAATCAAGAGATATCCCCAAGTAGAATAATATCCTGAGAATAATGTAAGCCATGAACAGCCCATGAGCAAGATTCTTCTCATTTCGGATCACTTGGCACCCTCTGTGAGATTTTTGATTTTTGTCTGTTAGCTACCTGACCTGAATAAAATTGACCAGAGTAAAAAGTTGTACTTTGTGGTAGGTGCTGGACCTTGTGGATTGGGCCTTTCAAAAATCCTTGAGGTATAAAGCATGCATGCTTGCTCATTATATTTTGTGATTTTGAAAACAATAAACTTTTAAAAAAGGTCATATTTTCACATTGTACAAAATTGGAAAACATAGAAAAGTATATTTTTCTTTTGTATGTTCTGTTTATTGTACCTCATATATATATATAAATATACATAAAGTTTTAATCGCAGGAATCTGAGAAAAGCATACAAATTATATTTAAATATTTTATGTGAAAAATTCTAATACACGCATGAATAATAAAAATTACTTATAATTCCACCCCTTTTGATGGAAATTTAAATAAAGTGAGAAATAAAAGCCCTTCCAATTTCATCCCTTTAACAGTTTTTAAATATTCTTCCAAAGGGTGTTCTATGTTTAGTCATATCTCTTTCCTTTCCTCTGGTTTTTCTTTTTTTTTTTTTTCCTGCTAGGAATAGTTGGAAGAGATGAAATTAGGTTATTTTGTGTTACTATTTTACTTTTAATAGCATCAACAAGCAGAATTTGCATTGTGATTTACTGAGAACTTTTTGTTTTCATAGTTATATTTAATTTTTACAATAACTCAGTGAAGGAGATATTATTTTACAGATAACGGGGACTGAGTTTAAAGAATTTGCATGAGGTCACTCAGGCCCCAATGGATCTAATCCATTTGGACTTTTTTTGAGTCCAAAGTGTATAATCTTTTCACTGCTTAGATCCTAAAAGTAGATAAATGTAATCTTAAACTGAAACTACTTGGATATTTTGGTAACTAATTGAGGTCACTCCCAGTAATCAAAAGTTGTTAAGTTAACCTTGATTAATTTTTTTTAACCTTTGCTTCTCAACTCTTTCATGTCCCATTTAGTTGATTCACTGATGTTTGGTACTTCCAAAGAAGGGAAAGAAAAGGGAAGGGAAAGGAGGAAAAATCCAAGCCTATTTTAGTTCTCTTGGTGAAAACCTTGGCAGGTAGGAATATTCTTGGCTAGAATGTAGTTTTGGTTTGTTATGGTTGAGTTTGTAAACTGTGACAAAAATAGCTGAGTTTCAGAAGTTATGATTTATTTGGATACCATTATGGGAAAAACGCCAAAACTTAATTTCTGTATTTCATAACTATTTCTGTGACGATAAATCCTGACCTTGTAGATAGTTTTTTTCTTATTGTGTATTAAGATGGATTCATTCACAGGTGTCACTTCTCTTTGCAACGGTTAAAACAATCTAATGATACAAACTACTTTCTCAAAATAATTTTTGGTATCAAGCTAAATAGAGATTCCTGACCACGTTAAATCTTAATCAGAGTTGATGGGAATTAATCTATTTTTTTGTGAAAAGTGGCAGGATGAGTTTTGTTAGCCTGATAATTTCTAAAAAAATCTCCTAAAAGAACTCAAAAATATGTACTTTCTATTCTCTTTTCTCATACCTAGTCTGCTGTACTTGTAATTTACTTCCCTGGCCCCTGGGGCGCTTAAGTCACAAATTTGTCTTTGTAGGTCTTGATATGTTATTGCAAATGAGAGTTTAGTAGAAAATGATTTTGTTTAGTTAGTAGTCAATAGAAATTGAATTGCGTTTTCCATTCTTGGTGAAGGTGCTTTGGTGTCCCTCATAGCTGAGATGTTTGCTTATTCGAGATTACCAGTGTTTCCTGTTTGACTCCTTTCTCTTCTCTGCTTGAGATGTTGGACTCTTACAGGAAATAAGATATTAGACTTATCACTGGTTTTTAAACATGTTGAAGTTGTGGAATCCCAACCCTACTTATGAATAGGAGATTAAACTGAAGGTGGAGAAATAGTAGCTAAACATCTGTCTGATTATAGCTTCTTTCAAAACAATCTCTAGAAATGACTTATTGAATGAACTAGTGACTTCCTTAGAACTTAATGTTAAAATGGTTAGATTGGTTGGCCTCAATTTTTGTTAACTGGATTCTGTGCATCAATTTCTTCTGATCTTTATTTTGAAATCTGAAATTCTGACTACAAAACTTTATATTTCTGTTTGTCTTTAAGAATAAATATAGACAATTCTGAAAGGTTATTATGTTCAACACCCTTGCAGAGAAACATAATTTTATTCATGTGCTTCTCAGATGATAAAATTGAAAAAGGTAAATGTTGCTCAAAAATGACCTACCCATAAGATTGGCAACTGATTATCGACAGTTAATAATTATAAGCCTCTATCTTTAGACAATTATGAATCAAAAATAGGTCATGTTTCATTTTATCTCTATTGTGAAAGTAGAGCTAAATTTCTCATTTTTGGTTGAGGACAGTCGATAAATAAATTTTAAAGTTAATAAGTCCTGAAATGGGATGTACATGTATTAGAATTATGGTGATAACCACCAGAAGAACCATATGTAGAAATGTTAGGTGGAACCATTTGAAATTGCGGTTTCATAGGTCTAAAACAATTGATTATTGGCAGTTTCATGGTTTGGTCTAGTTAAAGTCCTTATGTTTGAGACTTGGACCTAGGATTGGGGTAGGATAGGTTGCATTTAATAATCTGCTATATAAATGGAATGTTTTTGAAGATAAGTGCGTGTATTACTTTTATTACATGAGACAAAATAGCAATGCCGTGTCTCCCACAACTCCCTGGCCAAAGTAAGATGGTTAACGTTAGATCTTGACCCATAGTTAGTTTAGTTAGGCCAAATTGCCAGAGAAAATCTAACTGGAAGGGTCAGGCTGAGACTTTGGTTTGGTAGTATTGTGTGCTTATTCTGACTTTGGCTAAGTGGATCAAGATGTGTTCATTGACCATCTGTAGTTTTGTTTAAAAGCACTTTGCTGGATGTTATGGTGAATTCACAAGGAAATAGTGATAATATTAGAACAACTAAATAAAATAAGGGATAGATGATACAGTGCATAATTGATCACTTGTGTAGTTCAGTTCTTTCAAAGGAGATGGGACTACTTTAGACTGGATTGATCTAGAACAGTTCATTGAGGAGATAATTGTTGAACCGGGAAGTGAGAAGGAAGCAATCTAGATGGGGGAAACGTTAAGTGTTAAAAGTGTGGAGGCTGGAAAATGTAATTTATATTTGGGGATCAGCATTAAGTGAAAGAAAAGTAGAAGAAAAGAGCCTGGGAAAGTAGAATGAGGTCAAATTGAGGCCTTATGTGCTAGACCAGGGTTTCTCAATCTCAACTCTGTCATCATTTTGTGTTAATTCTTTGTTGTGGAGGCTTATCCTGTGTATTGTAGGGTGTTGCAGCATCCCTCTCTTCTGCTTCCTAAATGCAGGTAACATCTTCCCTACCTACCCCCTAACTCCTCACCGTTTTCTGGCAACTGTTGTCTCTAGACATAGCTAAATGTCATTTGTGGGACAAAATTTTCCCTACTTGAGTACCACTGGTCTAGATTTACCCAGAAAATGTGAGATGACACTGCTGGTACTAGAGTCAGAGGATGAGTTGCGTTGACTGATTGACTTTTTTAAAGGAGATATGCAGGATTAGTCAAAAATGGCCCAAGATGATAACTGAATAACCAGTAGACTGGTGATCTGTCTGTTATCTATTGTGTATATTTATGATACTGATCACTGTTGCACTAGATCAATGAACCCGACACAGTAACATGTCGCTTAATGATGGGGTTATGTTCTGAGAAATGCATCATTAGGCGATGTCATCTGTGCGAACACCAGAGTGTGTAAGTACACACGAAGAGTGTACTTACACAAACCTAGATAGTATAGCCTGTTACACACGTAGGCTATACGGTACTAATCTTATGGGACCACTTATGTGTGGTCCCTTGTTGAATGAAACATTGTTTGTTGGCTCGTGACTGTAGTTAAATAATAAGGTTGTTGAACAAAGATTATTCTTTATATTGCAAAGCTAATGAAACTCTGAATTAAGTCATACTGATTTTATCGTTTAATATTTATTATGGCGAAAACTTAGGCATTGAATATTGTGAAGGGATTCTTGAAGGTTGGTTTTTTAATTCTATAACTGTAAAAAATTCCGTAACTGTCTTTTAGTTGAATTAGCTGTTGCTTGGGGAGATTTTGATGTATTATATGTTTAGAAATGTTACCTTTTATTTAACTGAATAGGAGGTGGCGATTTCAATTTCAAAGATTTTTTTCCTAATGAAAAAAAATGTATTGTAGACTTAGAATTAACTCTGTCCTTATGCCTAAGATAGCTGTATTTGAAGTATCTGGCTTATTTCTCTAGTCTATTACTTTTTTTTTTCTTTTAAGGATGTAAGAGTGATGGATTTGGTACATGGCACAGAGTCATTGTTTGAATTTGTAGTAATAGGAAATTTTTCTTTGCAGCCCACAAAAATGTAATTATAAACCACTGAGGACTCTGATTTTCTCATTGTTATTATTACCAAGCTATGCTAGTAACTAAATATTGTTTGTCTCCATCCCTCAAACGAATATGTATCAAAAAGAAGAGATGACTAATCAGATGAAGTTATTTTTCAGAGATCAAAGAAAGCTAAAATTTGATATATTCCTGTTGCCTGCAGTTGGTGTATGGATATGTTGTATTTGGAGAATGAAGGGTTGGGTAAGCTACTAGGATTTGGATTTGTGTAAAAATCTCAGATTCTTCTAGTAATATGTTAACACATGTAAAGCATTTAAATCTATTTTTTTAATTGCTTTCTGTTCAGGCATGATTACAAAACAAAAACACAATGAAAGAGTATCAATTGCCCTATATATATTTTTTTGTGAGGAAGATTAGCTCTGAGCTAACATCCTATGCCAGTCCTCTTTTTGCTGAGGAAGATTGGCCCTGGGCTAACATCCATGCCCATCTTCCTCTACTTTGTTTGGGACGCTGCCACAGCATGGCTTGACGAACCCCGGGCTGCCGAAGCAGTGCGTGTGAACTTAACCGCTATGCCTCCATGCCAGCCCCAACTTCCCTATATTTTTAAAAATAATTGATTGGCATTGGCAACAACCACTAAAACAAAATTGCAAAAATTCCTGACATTTTGTAAAACTTACCAAGTAATAGCAAAGTTGGATTTGGTTTCAATTTTGATCAGGTACCCACATTTGTGCCCCAGTTAATCTTACTTTTGTATCTACTGTAAGGTTTTTATTGGTAAAAATTATTAGGAGTACTTTTTAGGTACTTCTACAAAGGCTTCTAGAAGATTGATCCAGAAGAAAAGTAACTTTCCTCCATCTCTCAGCTCTCTTAATTATGGCGTTGCTTGCAAGATGTTCCAGTTTCTTTAGTCAGTATGCACAGAGATTCTTCTTTGCCTTAAAAGTGTTTAGTCAACTCTGCTTATTATTTATTAGATCCTTATCTAAAAATATCTAGAAATTATTATTATTATTATTTTACCAGAGGTAGTTTTTCTTTGTAGGTTGAGTTTAATTGTTGTGAGTGGTATAAAGAAAATCATAATTTTCTTCATGATTTGTAGAGCTGTTGGTCTGAAAAGAAGTCATCCATTTGTGAATGATTCTGGGTCCACACTCTTTTTGAAATCCAAGAAGCTCACAAGTCCAAAGGTGTTTCCTAAGTTTGGCACAAACATATTTGATGGTAAAACCTGACTGGAACTGATAGGAGTTTACTTGTAGGGTTTACTTATGATACTTGTAAATATTCATGCTTTTCGCTGCAGAAATAATGTGTTTCATTATAGGATAGTGCCATAGACCTCACTGGAGGTGTTAGTGTAATGTATTGTGCATATACCCTGCTGAAATCTGAAAAAAATTTGAATTCTGAAACACATCTGCCTCTGAAAGTTTCAGATAAGAGATTCTTGATTTACATAATATTGCTCTTGTGTCCTATGCAAGATTGTTTAGGATGAGAGTATCTTTTCGCAACAGTCCTGAATAAGCTGTGGATAGTGCTTGATAATCCTCAGATTGACAGTGATTTTATAGGGTCAGTCAACATCTGCTAAATGTTAGTCCTTATTTTTTATGTGATTTAACTTGCGGAATTTTTTTTTATCAGCAATTTGTAAAGGATTTCTGAGATATTTTAGATACCAGATACTAATTATAGACAACTTTCTTTACTTTTAATGCCCAGTTAGTTATAGAGGGTAAGACCGGTTGAGTTAACAGAAATTAAAATGGTGTGGAAACATGGACTTTTTTCACCATTTTATTATTACGCTTTTCTTGGTTATAGGTGCAAAAAATTCATCACCCTACAGATTTTACTATTGATGTTGGCCACGACCTGACTATGACTGGTTTGTTTCCCACTTTCTCTTGCTCCTCTTCCTTTTTTCTCCTCCCCCTTATACCTCTCTCCAAATATTTTAGATTTTTATCTACTTCATTAGATGTAAAGAGGATTAAAAGGTTACTAGATAGTGTTGGGCTAAGAGGGCCTGGGTTGCCCTAGGTAGGAATGGAAGAAACTTGCTAGAAGGCTTTTAGTCCTGCATGAACTCTTTAATGTCCTCAGCCTATCTTTTTAGTGACTACTGTGGTTTCTCTTTTCTAAGATGGATTAGTTTTTAAAAATTCATTAATGTCTTTAATTCTAGATGCTATAGTAGTTACTGCCTAGAATTTTAGAAAGTTTAGGTGACTTTTATTTATTTTTTATTTTTTTTTAAATTTTTTATTTATTGCAGTAACATTGGTTTATAACATTGTATAAATTTCAGGTGTACATCATTATACTTCTATTTCTGCATAGATTACATCATGTTCACCACCCAAATACTAATTACAACCCATCACCACACACATGTGCCGAATTATCCCTTTCGCCCTCCTCCCTCCCCGCTTCCCCTCTGGTAACCACCAATCCAATCTCTGTCTCTATGTGTTTGTTTATTGTTGTTATTATCTACTACTTAATGAAGGAAATCATACGGTATTTGACCTTCTCCCTCTGACTTATTTTGCTTTGCATAATACCCGAACAGTAAGTATCCTAATAAGCAGGAAAATGGGTAATTTCTCTTGCAGCTTCCATTTTCTGTGCCATTGCTGTTGTCTCTTTTCACCCGTGTACTTGGTACTCCTAAAATTGATTGGTACATTAGGAATGTGGTACAAATTGACTGTCAAAAATATCTGCTCATTTTTTCTGGGTAAAGAGTGAAACAAATGAAACAGTTTTTTGGGCCAGATTTTTCTTGTTCTCAATGTGACTCAATGCTTGTAAGTCCATATAGTTTATAAAAGGAAGATGTAAGGGAAGAAGAATTTGGTCTGTGTTATGTTATCATTAAATTAAAATCAAGTGCCCAATTTAGAAAGAATCATATTTACTTTCAGAAAAAGATTACCTCTAGGGCACCAAATATAGCATGAGCTATGTGACACAAAATAACGCTCCTCGTTTTAAAGCATATTGTAATTTAGAATTACATATATTCATCTTCATTAGTGCTGTATTGAACTAAAACCATTATGCCAACTTTGTTGATTTATTATTTAATCAGGTTGGGAATGTCTACCATTCTTTGACTTAAATTTGTTTATATTGTTTTGCAAGTTATTCACGAATTTTGGTGGTTTCATTTGTGTCAGCGTTGTGTGTGTGTGTGTGTATGTATATACATATGTGTGGTTTTTTTTTCTCATATTTTCAACAGATTCTGAAGGGAGTGGTAATGGAAGTGAAGATCCCTCAAAGGACAGTGGAGAAGGTTCCTGTAGTGATTCTGAAGAAAATATTTTAGAGGAAGAACTGAATGAAGATATTAAAGTAAAAGAAGAACAACTTAAAAATTCTGCAGAGGAAGAAATACTGTCATCAGAAAAACAGTTAATTAAAATGGAAAAGAAGGAAGAAGAAGAGAATGGAGAAAGACCTAGAAAGAAAAAAGAGAAAGAGAAGGAAAAAGAAAAGGAAAAAGAAAAGGAAAAAGAAAAGGAAAAGGAGAAGGAGAAAGAGAAGGAGAAAGAAAAAGCAACAGTATCTGATAATGTGGCTGTTTCTGCTGCTTCCACCACACCAGCCACAAGTCCTTCTGCTGTTAACACATCTCCTTCAGTCCCTACTACAACAGCTCCTACAGAGGAACAAGTCAGTGAGCCAAAAAAGTGGAACCTTCGTCGAAACCGACCACTTTTGGATTTTGTATCCATGGAAGAGCTGAACGACATGGATGACTATGACAGTGAAGATGACAATGATTGGCGACCTACTGTAGTAAAGAGAAAGGGAAGAGCTGCCTCTCAGAAAGAAGGAAGTGACGGAGACAATGAGGATGATGAAGATGAGGGAAGTGGGAGTGATGAGGATGAGAATGAGGAAGGCAATGATGAAGACCATAGCAGCCCTGCCAGTGAAGCGGGTTGCAAGAAGAAGAAGGGTAAAGTTCTTAGCAGAAACAGTGCTGATGATGAGGAACTGACCAATGATAGCCTGACACTATCTCAAAGCAAGAGTAATGAGGTAGATCAACCCAATTTTTATGATATCTGTCTGTCTGGGGAAAAGGGAATTCTTCTCTAAACCATTCTACCCATTACATTAGATAGTGGCTTTCTTGAAATCCTATTTATAGACAGCTATGGGAGTGAATGAGCACCCTAACTGTAACATTTATTCATTTAGTCAACCAACCTTTATTGAGTATCTACTATTTGTCACCGTTCTCAAGGAACTCACAGTCACCGTCCTCAAGGAGCTCACAGTCTATATATTTAGAGAAATATTTTTATATCAATAGACTTGGGAAATGGTAGCGTTTTCCTTTCCCCTTTGTATCCTCTCACCCCATTGTTCATAGAACTGCTGAATGGTGCTGAGTGGATTATGAAAACAAAGTCACCTTTCTTTCAACTTAGTTATGTCCATATCCACATAAAAATTTAGACTTTTAGAATACTTTAAAGCAGGGCAACAAACAGCATATGATTGTCTCAGACTTTTAAAGATACATTTTAAAGGTTAATTCCTTTACCAGTTGTAGCACCTATCCTCTGAATAGTCACCAAATCTTTGCTTTAGATGTATGGTAGTAAATACGAGCTATAGGTTTACGTATGTTTAGTAAATAAGTTCTCTCTACAAAGAAATGAAAAAAAGCCAAACATTTCTGTTATAAAACAAACATTTCTATCATAAAACTACAGTAATGGCTCAGTTCTTCCACTTGAAGTTCTACTACCGAAAGTTAGGTTTATCCATTGGGCCCAAGATGCGACATTCAAGACTCTTCAGTCAAACACATTTGTGTCTCTTTGTCTGTGTGTTTATGTATATGTTTTTCCTCAAAAGGAAGATTGAGTTGTTGTCTTACATGAGATGTACCTGTTACATCACATGTAGAACTATAATAATTAAGTCTGTCATTTCTGTTAATTGTTCATAGTCATGAAAATTCACTTCTTTACCAAGCACTTATTTTTTGTTTTTTCATATCATTGAAATAGGTTAAGCTGGTAGAAAGATTTCCCTTCTATGCTTTGTTTGTTCTTTTGCGTTTCTTCTGCTTATAAGTTTTACAAAGCAGTGATTATCTATTTTAAGTGTTTCATTTAAAAATTTGATGTTTTCATACTAAAGTAATGTATAGCAACCTAGGAGGGGTTATATGAAACAGCTGTTTATATTTTAGATCATAAACGTTGGTTGACTTTTAGGTTGCCCACTTTCATATGAACATTGCCTCCTCCAGTGCTATCCTAATTCTTTGTGTAAAGGAAACTTGTCATTTGGAATATAATATAGTATTTATAATGATGTAGCACAGGCAGTTCCCTATCCCCAATGCCAATTTAGGGAAATAGAAGTGTGGAAAATCTAATTGTTTATATTTGATTTAGGCATCTATCCAGTTTATTTCATAGCACTTGGTAATCTATATCTACAGAATAAGTTTACATCACTTCTTTACTTCATTTTTATTAGCCTGACATTCACAAAAGTAGGCTGGCTAATGATAGAGGCAGTGTGGGTTCGATTTAGGCTTAGGTATGGGAAACACCTGCATATGTTTGGAAACTTGCTATGTAAAATGTGTATGTTACCCATTTGTTAATTATCTGTAATATATAATGTATTGCTTAGAGATTGTAGACTTTTCTTTATGATGCATTTAAAGGCCACATGTGCTTAGTTTTTTCCTACCAGAAGAAACTAGTAAATAATGGGACTTTATGTATTTAGGTTAACAGTCCAAAGGAATGATATTCCAGAGCATTTCTTGGAAAAGTGCCTTGATAAAGTTGGCAGGAAGTTTCTTCTTATAGTAGCTAAATTAATTCCTCTTGTGTTCATTTATATTAATTTTCCTTTTGCTCTACCCCATACAGAAATGTAGAACTCACAGAAAGTTAATTTTCCTGTGGTAATATTCTACCTGAAAGCTTGATAACTGTTTTTTTACCCAAAGACTATTATTCAATCGCTTCAGTAATTTTTGATGATTCTAGTTCTAATTGTCACTCAAATTAGATACTAAATTTTAATAAACTAATCAGTTGAGATTATTTTATCTTATGTTTCTAAATTTCCTATTCATATGATCTTGATTTTATAAAAAGATGACTAAAGGTAATTCTTGTTGCCTTATGGCCAATGTTTGTATGTGAGTCTTCCTGTTTTTTTTAGGTAGTGATACCTTGCCAAGCATCTATTAGTTAATACGTATATATTTGATTATATTTGAAGTTTTATTTTTCTCTGCTATTACTTTGTTTTCAAATACTACTTTGTAGTAGACATAGCTGAAAATGTGGCTTTAGAAATACATAATAGAATTATATTGGTTTATAAACAGACAAAGTTTTTTCTTGGCCACTGTGTCAATTGCTTTTGTAGGGAAATGATATTGGGCGTCATGGAGATGATGCCAGAAACTTTCGTAATTTTGAAGTTTCTTAGGGGAGTTTTGATATTTTTGAGCAGGGGTTCTTTTATAACTATTGGCTCTTAATGGCCTTAACATGCCTATGCCACAGGTCTTGATTTACTCTAGAGCCATGGTTCTTAAACTTTTTGGTCTCAGGACCCCTTTAAGCTCCTAAAAATTTATTGAGGACCCCAATTATTATTTATGTATGTTGTATCTTTTGATATTTACCACTTCAAATTAAAACTCAGAAATTTCAAAAAGTAAGACGTGTAGAACAGCACACAAATTGTCAGATTGATGGCGCCATCCCATGTCGTGTAGCTTCTGGAAAACTTCACCATATGCCCATGAGAGAGTGAAAAAGGCAAATAACCTTCGTATTATTATGAAAATAGCCTTTCCCTTGTGGACCCTCTGAAAGAATTCCCTAGACCACGCCTTGAGAAATACTGTTCTGGAATTGGACATTTGATAACCTGTGTTTTCTGCATATGGGCACTTGCCTTTGCCAATGGCATTATGGCATTTTTTGAATTTAGTGCAGTCTGAACAATCCCAGTGGACTATGGTTATATGTCTTTTTCAAACTTTAATCTTGAAGCTTTTGAGATTCACTAAGGTTGTCTTTTAGTTTTCTCAAGTAAATTTTTTGGGGAGGGCTGTGTAGCATTTTCAGAGAATGGTGTTCAATTCCAGGACTTTGAAACTAGAGCTTTAGATGAGAATTAATATATGGCAGAAAATTATATCAGTAGAAATTTTCAGATGGAAATTTTTTTGTTTTTTTAAGTAAGAGGCTCTGTTATGTTAAATGAGTTAGATGTCTTGCCATGTGAAGAAATGGCAGTTGTGATCTGATTTTTGCTAATTAAAATGTAAAAATTTTGCCAAAACTTATAAATAGCCACTTCTGTGGGGGATGTCTGACTTATTAATTGATTGCCTTTTTACGAATTTCAAAATAAATTGCTCTCAGGCCTAAAAAAATCAATTTGTAACATTGTAAAAAAATTACTTGAGGTTTTTGAGAATTTAATCTTCTTTAAAAACTTAGAGGAAGAACTGTTGGTCAAACTTCTTGGTATACTAATTTTTTCTCATCTTCAGAGCAATAGAATTCTTTTAATTCTGGTTTTACATGAAGTGTGCTGGAATTTCCTCCTATTAAACACACATGTAATTTAGAATTTACCCTGTTGTATATACTATTTATAATCATCTTTGTGGAATACATATATAAATGAACACCAAACATATTTTGGAGCCCATTTACAGTACTGGGTAATATTATCATTTTCTGTGTAAATTTTAAATCCCAAGGGAAAAAAATGAAAGTAATTTACTATAGGTAGTTATTGGCTTGTTACTATAATGCCCCATTTATTCTTATAGTTACTATTAGATTTCATTAAATTATACTATTAAAGTTATATTCTAGGTGATAGTCTTGTGCCATTCAAAACCCACTTTTCCAATTTCTATTTTTATGTAAAAATCATATTTTCAAATGATATATTTTGTGGTAAAAACTTGAGCTTAACTGTTTTCTCCAGAAACTTGAAAAATGATATGCATCTTCAGAAATATGCTAATAAAAATTGATACTAAATTGGCTTTTATGTTCTGATCATAAGTGTGCTTAAACCCAAGTTTGATCTATGAACGACAATTTAGAGCATAACTTTTTAAGAGAATGTGTCATTTAGGTTTTCCCATTGAAGTATTGTGTGTTAGCCATTTGGTTAGGGTGATGTAAGGCTCTAGTTTCCCTCAGTTCTCTCCCTTTGTATTACATTTCTAGTAAGAATCTCAAATGATGGGGATCAGAGAGTCAGAAATACCAGTTAATTTTGTTTTCAGTGCCTCTAAATATGTATTGAGAGAAATTGGTTTAGAGTTGTAATTTAGACATTTACTGTTTTGCTGAGCAAAATGGAAAAAGTGGAAAATAATGGAAGTAGAGCTATCTGTTGATGCTAGTTTTTCTAATCCATAGAAATTTATTTGTTTCCCACATGGGTAAACCTTTTTTCAAGGGCTGATTAGTTGTTGTAATTCCACCAGAGAAGTATTGGCAGAGCACGTAAACATGAGTAGCCTCTCAGTCATCAAACTCAGGTTGTTCGCTAGATTTTTTTTCTAGTCTGTGATTATTTAACCTAGATGTGGTAGTCTAAGAAAAAAGCCTTTTTTGGATTTACCATGGGAAAATATTTAAAGTAGCAGTGCTCATTGAGGCTTATAATTTTTCATTTAGGGGTTCCAAGGAAGATTCCCCAGTGTAATAAATTGTTAGCTCATGTTTCTCTTTTTGAACCACCTATCAGAAGTACAGAGGAAAGGAGAATGGGAATGAACATTTATCAAGTACCTAGTACGTCTCAGGACCATTTTTGACATACATTTTCTTGTTAATTCTCAGCAGCCTCATGAAGTGGATATTATTTTTATTGTTCAGTTTTACAGATGAGAAACTGCAGCTTTGAGGTTTAACAGCTGTTAAGTGAGAGCTAGGAACGAAACCCAAGAACATTTGACTTTAAGTCAAATGCTGTTATGTTGAAGCATGGCTAATGGGATGAAAATCTGGGCAGATTTTTGTTTTGCTCACTGTACCAAAGTACTATATAAAAGATGAGTTTTCTTTTTTAGGAAGGTTTTACCTTTATTTGCTAGCCATGTCCAAATCCTCCAAACTTTTGTTTGGTTTTATAACAAAGAGGAGCAAAATATAAAATTTTAAAGTACTGGAATTCTCAAGAGAAATGATATTGTCTCCTTGTTTACTTTTGCATTCTTTTCTGGTTTGTTTTTACAGGTCAGCTACAAGTTTAGAGGTATTACACAGAAAATATATTGAAAGAATGTTATTAATTATTGTGACATTCAGGTGTCATTCAAATGTCATTTACAAATTGCTATTGAAATGATGGCTCTAAAGGTTACTTTTGGGTATTGGTTAATTTAAAAGAATATAAAGTTATGAAAAACAATATGAAAATATATTTAATAAATGTATGATATGGAACTAATTTAATTTTGTTTCTGAATATGGTTGGGTTCTTAAAATAAATAGACTCAAGTGCCATCTTTTGTTATATGTAATGCTAAGCCCAATCTGTTAAATATGACAAGAATCATTATCTTGTTAACTTATTATTTAAAGTTTAAATCCATAATGCAGAAGGTTTAAATTAAAAGAAGCAAACTCTTCCCTTTCTTGAAATTTTCTTTTAGTATTTATCTATTAATACATCTTCATTTCTCCTTTTATATTATAATTAGGTATCTTTATTACCAGTTTACACTAGATATTTCTTGAAATAAACCTAATAGAGTACTCTGACTCTTCTAGCAGCTAGTCAACCTAGATCCTTTTTTAGTTGGTTTTCTGTACCTGTATACACAGATAGACCTATGTAGGCTGTTATGGATCTATCAGCCTGTAGTTTGATGACCCTGGAAGTTTTGAATTCCACAGCATGTAAGGAATATAGAGTCTGTAACTATGCCATCACATATGTATTTGCTTATATGTTATCTTGAATTGATTTTTTTCCTGTTTAATATATGTGTGTCTTGTCTCCCCTAGGTAGGATTATAAGCTTCCTAACTGTAGGAACCATGTCTTAGACTTTTTAAACCCGTTTATAGGATTAATAATTACTTGTGGGTTAATTTTTCCTTTCTCATAGTTTAAGGGGTCAAACTATAATCCAGAGTGGCAAAGCAGATGAAGATGCCTGCTTGCTTTTTCATTTCCTAGAGGAGAGAGAATATGGGACTTGCAGAGAAGTGAAAAATTAGAGAGAGGGTGCTTAGAGGGTCCTTGGACAAAGAGATGTACTTCTCAAATGTAGCATACTTTGAAATTACTAAAAGAATGGAGAATGTGGCATAATTTTGGAAATGCATAAAATAAAGTGAGAATTTTATTTATTAAAACTACCTTTAATTTGTTATTTTCTGATATATTTTAATATATAGGACTCGCTGATTCTTGAGAAGAGTCAAAACTGGAGTTCTCAAAAAATGGACCATATTCTGATTTGTTGTGTTTGTCTTGGAGATAACAGCGAGGATGCTGATGAAATAATTCAGTGTGACAATTGTGGCATTACAGTCCATGAAGGTAATTTTGCTTTGTTTTTTTCTCCTTTTAGAAATGGCTGATTGACAACTGCATTTAAATAAGTAAAATCAGCACTTTTACATTTGTACTACTCTAAGGTTTTTCTATAATATTTCCTGATGTTTCAGTTGAAATAAGACACACTACTGGGGTCGGCCTGGTGGCATAGCAGTTAAGTGCTCGCACTCCACTGCAGCTGACTGGGGTTCATATTCTGGCCTGCACTCACGCACCGCTTGTCAAGCCATGCTGTCATGGCGTCCCACATAAAAGTGGAGGAAGATGGGCACGGATGTTAGCCCAGGGCCAGTCTTCCTCAGCAAAAAGGGGAGGATTGGCATGGATGTTAGCTCAGGGCTGATCTTCCCCAAAAAAAAAAAAAAAAAAGAAATAAGACATAATGAATCCTCAAACTATGATGGGTGTTATTTTTCAGATTAATTAATAATTAAAATAGAAATATTATTATTTGGAAATCACAGTATTTTTTTGAAGGACAGTTTTATGATATTTTGCTTCATGGCTTGCTTGCCTTATTTGTTTATTTATTTCTAGTTTTTAAATGAAATTTAGATGTAGGAAAAAGTCTAGTATTTTAGTCCAGTGGAATGCATTATTTAAAAAGTCATATTCTAAGTCTAGTGATATTATACAGTTTCTTCTTTCATAGTTATAATTTTTAATTTTGAACTTTATTTGTCGTCACTGGTGATGTTACTTTGATCACATGGTTGAGAGGGTATGTTCCAGGTTTCTCTATGGTAAAGTTATTATTTTTTCCTATCAGTTAATTTTTCCTATCAGGGCCATGACTACTACAGTATTTCTATGGGCTTATCTTTACCTGCTTTTTTGGTATTACACTCCTCCTCTCAAATAGTTCTGGGAGTCTTCTGGACTTGTGGGACCTGTGGGGCCTGAACTCTTTTAATCAATCCTCCTGCCTTCATATGAAGCTGCCATCTCTTGCTGCTAAGGCTCACTGTGGGAATGTCTCCTCTTACTGCTATTCATTTATGTTTTCAGTAATGCTTGTTGAATACCTTCTATGTACTAGGCATTCTGTAGGTTTTAAGCCATGTAAAATGAACAGAATGTAGAAATTGCTGACCTCGTGGAGCTTAATGTCTAGTAGGAGAAACAGGCAATGAAGAAATAATACATATAATCAGGTGGTGGTTTGGACTATGGAGAAAAAGAAAAATAAAGCAGGACAAGGAGTGTTGGGAATGCTATGGATAGGAGTGGTTGAGTGAGGAGGTAGAAGTTTGTATTTATAAAAGGTGGTAACGAAAATCCTGTTTGATAAGGTGATATTTGAGCAGTAATCTGAAGGATGTGAGTGAGCAAGCCGTGTGAATATTTGGGGAAAGAACACTCCAGGAAGAGGGAGTAGTGAATGTAAAGATCTTGAAGTGGGAGCATGCTTGTGTAATGACACAGAGCTTTGCGTGGCTAGAACCGAGTGAATGAGCCGGTTAGTGGTGGGGGTGGAGATGGGGGCAAACGAGGTGAGGCCTTGCAGGTCATAATAGTGATTTTAGATTTTACTGTGATGGATATGGGAAGACATACATGAGTTTTGAGCAAAGGATTAATATGATTTGATTTACATTTTAGAAGCATCACTGACTTCTGAGTTGTGAGTAGACTGAAGTGGGTCTTAGGTGGGAATCAGGGAAACTATTTAGGAGACCTATTGCAATGATCCAAGAGAGGAATAGGTTTTGAGGTAGATAGTAAAAGTTTGGTTTTAAATTGTCTAGAGTTTAGGTAAGATGTTGGAACTAGAGATATAAATTTGGGACTCATCAGCCTGCAGATGTTATTTAAAGCTCTGAGTCTAGATGTGCTATCTAGGGAGTAATAAAGTGGTTCTAGCACTTGAAAGGAGATAGGGAACACATGGCCAGTGAGATAGGAGGAGAATCATAAGTAGTAGTGACCCAGAGGTTAAGTAAAGAAAGTGTTTCAAAAAGAGAAAGTGAGTAACTGTCAAATACTGTTTTTAGAGTCAGATAAAGACCTGTGTCATGTGGGAAATCACCCTAATGCAATGGTAGACTCCAAGTACACTACCAGGCAAGCTATCCCAAAGGTTGTAGGAAAAAAGGCTCACTGACAAAACGCTTATATCACATGGTTTATTAAATAAAATGTAAAATATGTGGAAAGAAGCAAGTGGAAGGATATGGGATTAGTTAACACACTCTATACTATCATTTCTGCCATATTCTATTGTTCTCACAGATCACCCTAGTCACATGTAGGAGGGATCATTCCAAGAATGTTAATACCAGGGACACTGATCATAGGAGGCCGTCTTAGAGGCTGCCCACCACAGATGCAGAGATGATATAGCATGTTAGTGTGCTGATGGAAGTGACCCGCAAAAAGGGAGAGTTGACAATTGATGATGTAAGGAGAGAAAGGGGAACAATTACTGGAGCAAGGGCTTTGAATACAAAGCTAGAGGGGAGGGGATCCAGCATCAAGTGGAGAGATTGAGTACATAAGACTAGTCATAGTAATGGGAAGGAAAAGAGTGTAAGACAATTCAGAGAGATTTTATATATGTATAAAATGCATATAATCCGATTTATTTTTTAAAAAGAATGTGAAGTAAAACCTTGATGAATTTGTGGTTGTTTATCCTGTGGGAAAAGATCAAGGCAAATACTTTTTGTTGTGTTTGTTGCCAGTTACATGAATTAGAGATAAAGAGTTGTTTAGAGGTGTAATCTTGAATGAGTGAAGCCACTTTACCTATAGAAGGGTTGGAATGTATGAATATCTTGCTAAGTTCCTGTTTTTTCTGTGTAGTCAGAGTCTAAATCTGCTGCTTACTTTCTGTTTCTGCCATGGTTGTGGCTGATGTTTGAGTGGTGTACAAAATAAATATTAATGCTTTTAAAGTAATTGAGATGCTCTCTCTAGTATTCTGGTGTTTTCTCCAATGGTCTCAGATTTTCTTGTGAAAAAGAATCACCTGAGGTGCTTGCTTAAAACACAGATTCCTGGGTTCCACCCCTAGAGATTCTGATTCAGTAGATCTGGGGTGGGACTCTAATATCTACAGTTTTAAAAGATACCTTGGGATTCTCCTGCAGGAGGTGGGGAGGATCATCCTTGGAGAGACATTGGTTTAGAAGGAAGTAAAAATTGAGGGAGAAAAGGAATTATGCAGTGTGGGTGGATGTCATGCCAGACAGCTGTAGGTGTAGGTCATGGCAGGGAGCCAGGGCAACGTAGAATAAAGTATACTTTCTGGTAGAAAACAGATATTAGACTCACAATGAGGTTTTTAAAAATTGACTTTTTTTTTTTTCTTTCTAAAAGTGGTTAGAGCAAACACAGGCAAGAAGAGACAAAAATGAAACTATGAAGACAAAAAATAATGGTGTCAGAGCCAATAGAAGGTTGAGAGTCCAGGCAGATGGAAGCTAGGATGGTACCTTCTAAACAGATGCGCCTCTTGCTCCAGCTCCCCTCCTGTCTTCAGGGCTTATCTTTCTGAAATGCATATCTGTTCATATTATTCCCTCTTTAAAATCATTCCATCCCTTTAGAATAAAGTCCACACTCACAGGAGGACTCTTAGATTCCATACCCTGCCAATTTGAATGACTTACCTTTCTCTCCAGTGTTTTGGGGGCTTTCACATATGCTCTTCTCTCTACCCAGATTCCTTATGCTCCACAAATACAACCTAAATATATAGGTGTTGAAATCGGTGTTTTACCATTGTCTTCTTGTTATTAGGAGATATGAAAGAACTTTTTTAAATTCATTAAAATATTTCTGCTTAAATATAGGTAACATATGAATAGATACTTACAGAAATTGCAGGTAGAGAAGTACATAAAGTAAAACACTGAAGGATCTCGTTACTATCGCCCTCGCCTTCATCTCAATTCAACTTCTCTTTGCGCAGGGAATCACTGTTAACAATTTGGTCTGTACTCCCACCTGTCTCTCTCTGATACCTTCCACCTCTGATACAGGTGTTGTTCGTTTAACATTATTTTATTACTTGAATACATTTTCATTGTAGAACATATCAATATAAATGAGCTAAAGAAAGCATCTCCCATAATCATACCACCTAGAGATAAACATGCTTTAAACTTTGGTGTGTATTCTTCTAGACTTTTCTTGCTTTTTCATGTGCAGACACATACACAAACACTTTTAAAAAAATTAAATGGTCAATAATATGCAAACTCCTCTTGTAACATCTATACCTTTATTATCACCATGGTTCCACCCCCACTTCCCATCCAGGATTCATTCACGTATCATGCGTTGCATTTGGTGTCATATCTCTTAGTCTCCTTTAACCTGGAACAAATTTTCTGTCTTTTTGTGTTATTCATAATGTTGACGTGTTGAAGAATCTAAGCCAGTTTTTAGAATGTCTTCTAGAATTGATGAAAAGAAGAAGAATAATAAGTTTTCACATATTAAGGTATAGGGGAAAGCCATTCTGGTTTAACTCTGATTCAGCCTAAAACTTGTTTTCCCTAGAGCAGCCTGACTTATGGCCCACCAAATGTGCATTGCACATCTGCTTCAAACATTTTCCCAAAGGAAAGAATGCCTTCTTTAAAGATAGGGGTGAATGTCTCCCTTTCTCTGATGCCAATACCAGCACTTCTTTGAAGATGAGCTTTTCTTCCTAGAAAACCAAGGTAGTTTACCTGCTGCGTACATGCTAAACTGCAGCAAAACATCTCCTTGTGACTTTGAGAAAAACAAATGTATTCTTGTCATGCTTCATGTATGTTCTTTGTTCTGAAACAGTATATAACCATGCTGTAAATCACGCTTCACGCTTCTCCAGAGTGCTTTCTTCCCTGATGGAGGTTGCATTTCTGGCCTAGTCCTCAGCTTTGCTCAGATAAACAACACCCTATCTTTCAAATCTGTAGATTGGTTATTGATTATTTGTGTCAACAGAATGTTCCTCCCTCTATATTTGTCTGGTTGTTTTCTCGTGA